CTTCCTGAGCGTCTGGAGGCGCTGATGAAGGAAGCGGATTAACGGCGCGCGGCTCCCGCGGCCGCGCCAGCCTGCGGCGGGACAGCGGGGAGGAGGAGGAAGAGTAGCAGCAGCAGCAGCGCACGGCAGCGGGAGCCAGCCCCGGGCAGATTGCGTATTCCGGGCAGGGCTACCGATAGTCGGAGGCCTGGCTACTGAGCGGGGACGGGCGGCGGGGAGGCACGGACACGGACTCGGCTCGTTTCCGAAATCCGTCCGGAAGAGAGTAAAGTCTGACCGAGAGGAGCTGAGCTCCACCGAGTGGGGAGAGAGACGCTCTGAGCAGCCGACCCCGGCAATCGCTATTTTCACACGCCGGAGAGCGCGCGGTAGCTCCCGCCAGCGCTGCCGCCAGCTCCCGGGGGCTCAGCGAGTAGCTGAAAGCAGCCTGAAAATAACTCGAAACACCCCAAAACCCAACTCCTGGCCGCGGCAGGCAGGACTCGGAGCCGCAGAGCGCGGTCGGGCCCGAGCCAGCGCTGCAGCGCGGCTACCGGCCGTCCCGGCCACCGGCCACCCTGGCTACCGGCCACCCTGGCTACTGCCCCGGCCCAGGGACTGCGGCGGGGTGGGACGGAAAAGCAGCGTTTGTGGAGGAGCCCTGCTCTCCTGCCCATCTGATAGGAAACTTTAGAAGGGCTTTCAGAAGCCCAGTTCACCAGATCTTAAATCCAGCAGGTAAATTATTTCAGACCAGAGTAATAGCAGCAGAGATGCTGAACTGTTTCTTGTTGGTGTTTCGTTTTGGTTTTACCGATCCCGTTAACACACTTGCAGATCTCTGCTGTGGTTTTCCAACTAACTACCCGATCCTCCCGTCCTGCAGCAGGGGCAGCTCCCTGAACGCTGTTCTCACCCTCCTATTTCTTTTATAATATTCCCACTGGGCTGGGTCTGACGGGGTGTGTGTGTGTGTGTATATGAATAACCTTTACCAGTTACCAAAAGATCCAAATTCTCCTAAATTTCCTGCAGTAGACTAATGGCAACAAGCCTCAAGACCTCCAGATTTCCACATTTCTGGAGACAGGTTATTTTTTGGATGTGGTCTGCTGGCTCCTAAATCAGCAGCTCGACGACATCTTCGCTAAGCCCTGTCAATCTCGGGTTAATAATTTTCAGTAAGGCTATACCCCATCCTTTAAGGTCCTCCTTCCTCCCTAAAATCTTCTCCCTCTGAAGCTTCTGGCTCCACAGGCATATTTCTGACATGGTTTCTAAAACCTAGCTGAAGCCTGAAGTTAGAAACAGGAGAGATGTCACAAGGAGTTAGGGAAGAAAGTTACCCCCAAAAGCAATATTCTGCCAGACCTGGTGTGCGAATGCTCCCCGCCAACACATTTCCCAGTGTGATACTTATTTAAAGAGATTTAGAAGCAGCGTAATTAGCAATGGGTTGGGTTCTTTTTCAGATTGTGATGACTTCAGTCTGAGACTGATAGTTAATGTATAGGTTCTGTGAAAAGACAGGGGAGACCCTTGTCTGCCTCTCGGTGGGTTACATCCCCTTACCGTACCCCATATTCAGGCACAAAGGATTTCAACAGTGACAGCTCACTCATCTGCACCATTACTTTGCCTCCCTGTCAGCACATCATCCAGACCCTTTGCTGATTATTTTGTTCACATTAAAAATGATGGGCATCCCCTTATCAAAAGATTGGAGGCGCCCCCTCGAAGAAATGCAGGGGGAGAGCTGTCACGGCGCTGTCACCCCCGGAGCTGGCTCGCTCTCCGCCTGCCCGCTGGCGCCCAGCAGCAGGACCACGCATCAAACCTCCCTCCTGTCCCTTCTCACAAGAAGACCACCAGGGGAAATTCAATTTTAGTTGTTCCGGGTCAGGTAACCGTAAGCCCAGAAAAGCAGACCACCCGTCTACAGTCCCTCGAACACGATGCACAGCAATGCTACTGCAGAGTGAAGAGAATTCTTTTTTACATTTTTTCTTTCATCAAAGTGATTGTTTAGTGAATACTTTAGAACTGTGTGTGGTTCAAGACCAGCAACTTATTTTTTATTTTTTAATAAAGATTGGCTTCTTTTGGGGGGCAAAGTTCCAATTTTAGCAACGAGGTGTTGCCGGGGAATGGCACATGCGCAGCATCGAGAGGGACTGTTGATAATTCAATCATCTGGAAGGTGCCTCAGTGTTGTAATCACTTAACAGCGACACAAGCTGATGTCATTTCAGTGACAATCAAGTGTGGCAAGTCGGTGGCTTTACCAGCAAGAGAAACACCAAGACCACAGACTTGTGTATTCCTAGAAATATATACATACTATGAAGCAACTTGTTCACACATTTATGTAAACTGCTGCAGTGAAACTAGTCCTAAACTTCAGGAGGAAGGTTCTATGAAACTGCAACAAATTAAGGAAAAAGCTAATTAAATTAATCTACCTCATATCTGTCAGACTTTGAGAGTTGGGATTTGGGGAAGAATCTGTAGGTATGTTAATCTTGTGTTCAGAAAAAAAAATAAAGCTGACACTACTTAGGTCCAAACAAGGGAAACCAAACATCTGAAACTAATTGATAAGTGGTACCTTACCCCTATTTTAATATATAAACGTCTTGGCCAAGTAGAGAGTATTTGCCAGTAAAAGAGTATTGCTAAAACGTGATTAAAGCAGTTCCCTCTCCTATTTAACAGAGCACCTAAAACCTTCACAACCAAGTGTCAGTGCACCTTTAATCTGAATATATCCCTTTTTGGGACTCTCCACCTTCTAACTAAATACTTGGGCGCTACGCATCTCCTTTATTAAACTAGGCAACACGGTATTATTAGTATTATTGGATTTTAATCTAAATTAAATACTACGTTTAAATTAAAATCCAATAGTTCAGAATTAAAAAAGCGATTTATGTAAGCAAAGAGCTGTACTTCTGCGAATCTCTTCCTTGCTGTGAATCAGACGATGCACAGGAAGGCAATACCAGAGTATTACCTCACCATTTCTCACCTGGGCCTTGATTAAAGCTACTCAATTAAGCGCAGGGCAGAGCGCGGTGTGTGTGCGGTCAGCTGGGAGAGGGAAGGCTGGAATTCAGCTGGCTGGCGGGGCTGGAGCTGGCATGTCTTGGGTGTGTCACTAAGGTGACACTGTTTGGAGAAGGGCATCAGCTGCACGGTGCTAATGACGCTCCCCGGTGCCCGGGCCGGCTCTGTGTGGGTGGCTCCAGAGGGAACCCGTCCCCGTCCGCCTTCCCAGCCAGCAGCATGCAGCACTCACGCGCTTTGTCTCAGTCTTTTCAGTTTCTATAAAAATGTATTACAAAGATCCAACCTAGCAAATGGCCTTGAATACTCACTTGTGCCTGGTTTTCATTTAAGAAGGCAGCATAAACCCAGAAAACGGCGTAAATATTCGTCCTGAGGACCCAAACTGATGTGACAAAGCCTAGATTCTACTCTAAAGCTGAACATCTCACCACAAAAGCAAAATTGTGCTGGAGCCACAAAGTCCGGCTATTAAGTTGTTCTTCCACAGGTACTTCCCACACTCCAAATGCAAAGTCCATAGATAATATGGATCAAATACTTCATCCTTCCCATCTATTTTAATACCACACTATCTCCGCTCCTCATAGAAATACCACCCAATATAGCATATGTTAATTTTGTTGTGACAAGAGCAGAATTTGGTACAGGGATGTGAGAAAAAAACCCCAACAATTCAGGCAAAATTCACAAGTGTCCCTAAAGGAAGAAAGAAAAAGGAGATTAAGCCTTTTCTCAATGCACATCAGAATGTAGGTCAAAGAAGAAATAAAGCTCAAGCCAGATCTGGTAGCCTTGGTCATCGTCCTACAACCACCAGCAGATGGAAGACGCATGGGAACATGCTAATATTGGCATCCTAAACAGGCTAAACAAGTTCTTAAGCTCGGTAGCCGATATGTGTTTTAGTAAAGGTAGAGAACACAACTCTGAGGTCGTTGGATGGTCTAGAGGAGCAAGAAATCAGGAGCACAGATATTTCTGAAAGCTGCTTCAGGTCGGCGTCTGTGTTACATTCACCTCATTTCCACCGTTCAGAAGATAAAGTAGGGGCTACTGCTGAGGGTGTGTTGGCCTGGAGTCTGACACCGGGACAAGAAAGACTGCAATCCTCTTATTTTTTTAAAAGAAGCAAACCCTAGCACCTTGTAAAGGATGGTTTGGTGGTGGTTTTTTTTTTTTTTTAATCTTTTACATTGCTGGCTGTAAATTTTAAATTAAGAGACTACATCCTCAAATAGTTAAAGGAAAAAAAAAGGATAAAACTGTAAGCATGCTGCAACAGCACTCAAAATCTTAAGAATACACTTTTAAGATGGTTTATGCTAAGAACGAAAGGAATTCCATAGGCTTGAGACCGAGAGATGGTCCTTTACTTATTTTCTGGTGAAACTGATTTTTTTTTTCTGGTGAAACTATTTTCATGCAAGTGCAAGTTGCAGCTCCCACCCAACTGCTCGGGACAGAATTTCTGGTAAGTAGTTCAGGAATAGGGTGAGATGGTAAACTGGTGCTTTTTGACAAGAAGAATCTGAGACTCTTCAGGGTCACTCTGTAATCTGTACCGTCGGGTCTGTTTGCCTATCTCCCACCCACCGGGAGCGACGCTTAAATGCGAAACGTTTTCTGTGGCAAAGCAAGACACGAGATTGGAAACAGTCAGAATTCCACGATCTAAGCAGTGAGGTGAATGACCCTAAAGAGAAATGAAAATGAATCTTTCTGGAACTGAAAGACATTAAAGATCAGTAAGTTGCTGAGGAAATGGGGAAAGCAGTGGACGCATGCAAACACTGCTTGGCTCAAGACGGTGCCTTCAGCGTGATATTATCTGACCCTGTCTCTAATAAGCACTTTAATGGCTGGAAGAGGATATATTGGGAGCTTTGCTCCAATTCAACAAGCGCTTCATGGACTATCGATTTTGCTCACAAGTGGGAGAGAACAAAGTTCACCCAGCATTGCTGTTATTTAAAGATCTGCCAAAGGACATCTCAACCTCCTGAAAACTGGTCCACCACAGCCTGTCTCAGATCAGTCGGTCTTGTGATCTGCAACTTCGGACACAAACGTTTTGCTGGCAAACAGTGAGTCAGACCCACGGAGCCATTACTGGAGGGAACGGCTGTAAACAAGCACCTCTTGCTTGTTTACTGATCATTGTCACATGGCTCATCAGTACTTGACCCTGATTAAAAGAAGAATTAACCAGTTGTGGAAAACTCTACAAACTTCTGGTATAATTTGACTTTTTGTAAGTTTTAACTGCTGCAAACACTTCTATGAGAAGCAGGAACTCGAAGCAGTGGGTCCGCACATACAAAGAGATCTCAGGCTCCCTTCCTGCTGATTGTATCAGTCACTGAATATCCCCAAGAATCTTTTTCATCTGGACCTGCCAGCCTACTTTTAACTGTCTGCAGCCTGGAAGCACGATACACGAAAGAAAAACCGGGAGCCCTTGCGGACCTCACTGGTTTTATCATTTGGTGCAAGAGATAAGGCTCAGTGCCCAAGTCTTTTTTCTAGCAGGGAATCCTTTCTAGAACAGACTATGGGATACTCGGCACCGGGGGAATCTGCTTACAAGAAGTAACCAGCAGTGGCTTGTTCTGCATCAGCTGGACTGCTGGTCACTTAACACTGCCCTTTTTAAATGAAAACAGCACTGTGCCACGGTCCGCATATACAATCAGATGATTTTCTTATCATCTGCTAATTTTCCCTCCTCCTACATGCTAACACTGCGTTTTGCCCCCTCTAACTGGTAAGCTCTTCGGGGTGGGGGCACTCGAGGTGCTACAGGACCACTGTGCTATAAACTCTGTAGTTTTAAGGATGACTGGCTTCCCGAGTGCAGCTTGCAGCTGTGTATTAGTTTCTTGTTGGCTCCTGATTAAAAAATATTTAAATTACTAATTGTCGCTAGTATCCATGTCCATATACCCTGAAGCCCCAAGCAGTGAAGGCAGGAGAGAAGAGAGTTTTGCACAGCACCGTTACTGGGACGTGCTCGGAGAATGAAAATGCGTGTGACATTTCCTCCGCCGTGGAGAGAGTTTTGGTCTTTACTGCCCTCCAAATTAGAGGTAATGGGGGAAATATAAATATGACCTCATAACTGTTAAGCTTTAGCAACTGTGGAAGAGAAGGGACCAAAAAGCTCTATTTGTAATTACCCCATTTTCTAGAAAACCAGTCTTTATTGTTGAAGGGGACAGTTAGGCTGCCTGGTATCCTTGGGGCTGAAATGGTTCATTTCTCGGGGAGATGAAGCAGCAGACCCCAAAGTCGTGCAGTATCGTAGATTCAAACCTCGCTCTCTCCCTCTGACACACGTGAGATGTCCCTCCACGGGGCTGCGGTGCTGTTTTCAGCAACTGTACCAAAGATTTGGAAAGTCAGATCGTGCTGTTCAGCCACGTTGTGGATTTTCAGATTATCAAACTTAAAGCTGAAAGGGTTCAAAAGCATTTTCAAGTGGGATGTGTGTTCATCAGCCCAAGTGTCTCGGAAATGGCAGGGGGTGGTTGTTACTGACTCCGGGTTGTCATTGTTAATAATACATCGTTATTAATCAGATTTGAACAAAACCCCCCAGTCAGTGTTTACTGGTTGGCAAACTGGACACAGAAAAGCCTGATTCAGGAAAGATTTGTTTTTACAGTTCAGACCCTGCAAACTAAAGGTTTCAGAGTGTGTAGGGAATGCCTTTCACAAGGTAAACGGGTTTGTAGTTGCAGCCTGAAGAACTCCACCTAAATTCCACAGATGTATTTGAGCAATTCCCAGTAGTTTATTCTCTCAGTCCAGCATCAGACTAGATTCCTAGCGGAGATTAATGCTCGCACAATCAGATATCTGTCTGTACGGATGCCATGACATCCACAGGTCTCTGTGGTTTAACAGACGAGTTCTGGCTAAAGATCCTTAAGGATGGGGTGACCGAGAAATAAGGAGTTGATGGAATGCTCTGAGTTCTGCCTATGCAAGACCTTCTTTTTCCAGTTTTGATGAAAATAGATACAAGATCCTCCAGAACATTGTCATGTTACTCTTACTTCAGATTTCTTTAAATATGCAGACAGGCAAATGATTCATGCTCTCCCTGTTGCTAAAACCCATACTGTGTACGAACACTGAGGCTGGTTGTGTATAAAATCATATTTTAACTGAATTCGCTTCAGCTTTAACTTCTTTTTTTTTACTGGAAGTAAAGCCCTTCTTACCCCAAAGACCAGGACTACTTGTTGGCTACAGGCAAAAGCATGGAGCGAGGTGGTCGGCACGAGACTGTGATTAACCTTAGCACACTGAATCTCCAGGACCAGAGTCAAGGTAGCCTTGGACGGAGCCAGGCAGAGAACAGAAATCACACATAGAGACCTCACAACAGAGATGAAATTAATCCTGGTTTAGAACAAAAAGTAGATAAAGAGCGAAAAGTAGAAACTTAGAGCAAAACACACTGCAGAATACTGTGCCTTCGACAGAACTGAGCGCTTAGAGCTGTGAAAGGGAGCGCCCGGTTGTTCCTGGTTTCTCAAGGCATCCACCCAGGGATCAGCACTGCATTGAAACTTGCATTGCATCCAAAGACAACTGCCATTTTGCTACAAAATAATCTCCTTGATTATAATTAGATTTATTAACATTTGTATCGTGTCAAGGCCAAGCAAGCAGGTTATCTGTACCTCTCAAACAACTTTCTTTTAAACTTTCGTAAGTGAATAAAAGTTTGACAGTTCAACATGACCTCAGTTTACTTTAACTCATGTTGTTATTTTTAAAAGATGAATACTCCGAGCCCTTTGTTACCTGTAATTCTCAAGGACTTGACTGTGTTGTTTGTAAAATGCCAACAGAGCCTCACCATAAAGTTACGTTACAAGCAATCACGGGCACATTGATGTAAAGCCAAAGGTCTGAGAAAGCACAGCCAGGTTTTACTGATCTAAATAAAGTCAACTAGACAGATTGTTATTGGAATACGCTGCATTTTGAAAACCTCTGTATTTTCACGAGGATTATGAGAGTCTTATACCATGTTTACTATAAGCATTTATTAACATTGTTCCTTCTGGTAATAAGATGTTTATTATCAGCACATAAAACCCGCCAGTCTTTTCCCCTGACCGCCTGCTAATTCTAACTTCAGTTCTATGAAGTCGCCTCTCTTCCCCCAACAGCACTATACTAGGTCAGTTCCATAACCTGCTTTCCTGCTGAAAAGCGAGGCTTATAAATTAAATTCATTTCTAAATTTAGGATTGATGGGATCAGTCATTACGGGTCTTATTTTTTCAGGCAGATTTCAAGGGAAAAGAATTCATAAAGCAACCACTGCTTCTCTCTTCGAGTTTGTGAGAGTCCTAAACTGTAACTCTCCGCGCATTCGTTGCATTAGTTGCTGAGGCCACCTTTGCAGAATCGACATAGAGGAGGACCAAGATTAGGGGTTTTCTTCTTCCTGAATAATCTTATATTTCAATAGTACTTCACAAATTGCATATGCGGTTTCCCCGCGTCTTTACCTTAGAAAATTCAGGCTGTTCAATAGGAACTAAAATCAGTTGAGGAAGATGGAAGAGCACTTTGTTGTGCCGGACAGGCAGACTTTGGTAAGCTGCTTTCCAACCTAAAATCTGCCCTGGACAATGAATCCAGCTACTTCTACTGAGAAAAGGCAGTGGGGGAGATCCCTCGCAGCCATCAGATGCTGCTACCGGTTACACGCCGCTCCCAGTGCCCTGCCAAGGGATGGCTCTCGGGAAAAAAAAAATCCCATCTCTGTCACCAAAAGCTGAAGCACCCTTTGTTTTCCTTTGAAGAGGAGGCCGGTCCTCCATCACACGCTTAGCCAGCCTTGCTCTGGGTCTGCAGAGGCACATGCAGCCGAGAGGGAGGGCAGAGGGTGCCACAGATCCGCACTCCACGGCCCCCCTGCTCCGATGCCTAATCATAGACTTGTTTAATAACTGCAGAAAAGGACAGCCCAATTCTTATCATCAGGCTCTCTGGAGATTTGACATCCTTGGCATTGTATCCTAAGAGGAAGGAAATTTCTCACTTCCCTAGCTATTTCAGTTATATAAATCAATTGTTGAAGGATAGTTTAACTGGTCTGCACATAGGAACCAAGGCAACTGTATCTGGGCTCCAGTGCTCTTTGGAGATATTGATCTATAAATTAAAAATATAATGCTTTCTAATTCATCAGTAATTATATGCATGTACATTGAGAAAATGGTGAAATCTAATAGCTAGGAAAAAAACCTGCCTGATTTTATACCGGCAGTCACGATGCCAAGTTTCTTCCCCAGCTGTGAAGCTGTTTTGATCGGGGCCCTTTGGACCCAAAGCCCAGATGCTGTCACTGAATACCGACCATCCTCCCCTCATTTTCTCCAGCCTCCTTGGAACACCCACGTCCTATTGGCTGGGCAAATGGGTTCAGTTGCATAAACTTAAAGAACTTATAAAAGACTATTAGTAAGGGCAGTTGATTAGAAGATGGGGTTTGCTGGCAAAGAAAAAAAAAAACTAGTATGGGCTGCAAAAACAATTAAAAGATGGAAAAAATCCTGAAAAATACCTCTGGTAGCTCCGTGAGCATAAGGCCACTGGTTTACTATGCCAGGCAACCAAAAAGTAAACACTGCAGGTATCGTTCCAGGATTTCAGCTTGGCACTAACACCCTGATTATTCACTTGCAGCAAGAAATAGATCTGTCCTAAGCCACAGAAGCTGAAGGGTGAGCTGATGTCATGGCTGACAGAAGGAACCCCTTGTAAAGTGAAACGATGATGAAGGCACAATAGCTCATACATGGCGACAGGGCGTCCACGTTATCTCTTTCTAGGGAAATGGCACAGAGTATCCTTCACAACCAGCGTTAATTTGCTTATTTTGCAAATCTAGAAGCCTATTTGGTTAAAAGTAATGACTGAAATGAAAAGGCAGGGAGGACTCGGCCATACCACAGTGATTCTGTCCTCCTGCCCATACTGATTTTTAAGCTTTCTCCTCTAACCCTGCGGAAGACCCAAAGAGGAGTATTTTCTCCTGTGATTAGGATGGGTCAATGGATTTGGTCAATGCAGTTTATTTTACTTGGGAAAAATTATTTATTATCCTATTCTGAAAGGAACTTATGGCATCTCTATACATAACCAACCAACCAGGCAAGACCGCTGGCCTCCGGAGATGCTCTCTGATGCTCTCCAACAGCCAGGCCACCTCCTCCTACATGGTACGGCAGCTCAAATGCCTTCAGCTGTCAGAGCTGGGCTACTAACCACGCTGGTAAGGATTCCAAAAACATACATGCCACCTTGCTCCAAAGAAAAGGGGATTAGTCAGCAAAAGGGGTATTCTTATAGTGTGACTTCTCTCATTGTTCTTTGGCTGCAACATCCATTGATATTTTTGGTGGCACACCAGAATTGTGAAACTAGATACTCTGAGTCAGCCCAGAAGCGTAGATGAGATCAAACCCCAGCGTTCTGCAAGGACCAGCAAGCCAGCATGGGTAAATACTCTTCACGCATCTACCCAAAGAGTTTTTTTCTGAGCAAGAATGCCACAGAGAGATGCCCCAAGTCCTCGTTCCACAGCATCGCGCTACTACTAGGAGACATTTTAGGGTTGTCTCTCCTGATCCCTCAGGGGTGCTGCTAAAAACGTGGCTGTGACCCGCTGCAGAACTCACCACTGCTACTTTGAAATTCCGTGCCTGCCTTTGGGGAAGTGTGACAACATACGGGCCAGTTTCTCCAGAGACTCAGCGGGCTCCCTAAGTTCATGCTGAGGGTCATGGGGTGGAAGGCAGTTGATCTCCCCTTGGCCCAAACAGCTGAACTCTTAGCGAGAGAAGAGACATTCAGTTATACCTAAATCTAGCAGTGCCTGATATTTTTGGCTGCAGTACGGTGGTTCTGCCTCTTACATACAATCCTTGAAGCACCCAGTCTGTCATGATGGCAACTGGATAATTGACTTTGGATGAAAGCTAATCCACATTCTTCAAGCAGCTTTCAAAAGCAAAGCTGGTGTGATTGTGTGCTTTTTTTTTTTTTTTTAAACAAAGTTTTGTTATTTGTACTCCCCAATTTGTGGCTTGCAGACGAGTTTCTTCCTGCAAGACCCTCTGAAATTGCTCATGGCAACAGGGAATTAAGATGGTTAAAACGAAGCCAACTGGGAGACGTGAAATAGCTCGCAGCGTTTTGCTTGCTTCAGACAGTAGTCCACTGGACAGCAGGATTTAGGGACACAGACATAATTTCAGTTATAGTTGTGCGATAACAACATCTGTTTTACTCTCCAGAAGATTCAGTCACCGCTTGAACAGTACGCGTGCTCAGGTTCGTGTAAGATGTGTCATTAAACTCTCGAGAAAGTCTGAAAAAATGAGCCAGCTGTGCCACTGAGATTGCGATTAGAAGAAAAACTCAATCTACAGTTTAAAAGAAGACTGACCACTAAAAATGCGTTTTCTTTCTTAAAACTTTGTGCTTGGTACAGCCATGAAAAATCCTGAAGTATTTCACGCAGTTTTCTTTGCATTTAGTGGTGCTTTGAGTTCAGTCCTGTCAAATAAATATTTTGTACCAGCGATTTCTAAGTTGTTTAGGAGTTATATTTAAGGGTCCTTCTCAAGTTAAAGCAAAAGGAAAAGCTTTTTCTTCCCTGTCACTTTTTTCTTGTTTGGAATTTGCTCCTAAAATGTCGTGAAGAGTCAAAATTTGTAAAGTTAGTTACTTCTAAATACTTAAACTGACAATATTCTTTTACCTATAGCAACTGCCACAGCGTGCACAGCCCGGACATACGCTCCCTTATAGCTTTTCACCACACTTATCACAAAGACAGGGGAAAAAAAAAAAAAGAAGTGGAAGATAGATAGAAAATTAATAATGAATTAGATTTTTAAGAAGCCCTCTAGATACGCTCTGTGAAACATGGCAGATAGCTGGGGGTGAGGAGAAGGTGGTAGACCACAGACAGGATATAACTTTATTTTGAATAGAGCTTGTCTTGCGTACAAACTCAATCTCCC